GTTTCGTCTCGTTTGGCCAGGAAGCGACATTTTTTTTTTTTTTTTGTCAACATCAGCAACACTGAATTTTCAAGTATAAACGACACCCCCCACAACCATATGCATGCCTCTTGCTCGTCTGTTGGTGATGGTGAACGCTTACCACCTGGGACAGATACTGAACCGGTTTCGTCTCGCTTGACCAGGAAGCCGTGGTTCTTTTTTTTTTTGCCAACAGCAGCACCACGAAGTTTTTCCTTTTTTTTTTTTTGTCTTCACTTCAAATCAGCGCTCACGGCACTATTTAGTGCCGTTTACTCCAACCCGTGGTCACACAGAAGAGCCCCTCTCTACCTTCCCCTTACAAGCCATTATTGACGACACGCCCCAAAATCATACATGTCTCTTTCTGGTCTTTTCGTAAAGGTGAACGCTTACCACCTGGGACAGATACTTGCCCTGTACGAGCACCGCACGGCCGTGGAGGGCTTCATGTGGGACATCAACTCGTTCGACCAATGGGGAGTGGAGCTTGGCAAGAGCCTCGCCACCGATGTAAGTTCTGCCTTGACTTCCCGTATACGACACAAGATAACACCCCTCCCCCCCTGCACCGATTTTTAAAGCTCGATTTTTCAACAGTAGCAACAGTCGCAGGGCCGAAAACGGCAGCGTCGAAGCTGTCTGGCCGAGAGCTCTCTGAAAACGTATCCTTTCGTTTATACATCCTCTTCGTCGTGGAGTAGTGGAGCTTTGAAAATCGGTGCAGGGGTTCTTATCTTATATCATATACCTAATACGCGTTACATCGCATCTGATAGATATCATCACACCCCCCCAATAATATGGCGTTGGCCTGAAACAAGTACATGGCGGCTGATCGGTACAGTTGTCTCGGCATGAAGTTCCTAATGCATGTGTCGAGCAACTGGGCAAACAAATCGACGTCGAAAACGAAATCGATACGATTGGTTCACAGCGCGCGATCGGCTGACAAAGTCCTCGATTCGATACACGGTTACGTTGGCGGGGCTTGTTGTGCTCGCCCACCTACGTCAACCACACGCTGGCCATCGCTTTCCATAGCCATTTGCTACCGCTGTTCATCCAGATTCCAACTTCCGCGGGCGGAATGGTCGTTCTTCGTCCACCACCCATGAACATCAACCTGAACTCCCCCCCCCCCCCCA